ACTTCTCACTTCTCACTGCTTCCTTCACACTCCAAACTTCACACTTCTCACTTCGCACTTCACACTCCACACTTCACAGTCCACACTTCACACTTCTCACTTCTCACTGCTTCCTTCCCACTCCAAACTTCACACCCCAAACTTCACACTTCTCACTTCGCACTTCACACTCCACACTTCACTCACACTTCACACTTCACAGTCCACACTTCACACTTCTCACTGCTTCCTTCACACTCCAAACCTCACACTTCACACTTCACACTGCGCTCTCCGCACTCCAAACTTAAACTTCACACTCCACACTTCACACTTCTCACTTCCCACTGCTTCCTTCACACTGCACACTTCACACTGCACTCTTCACGCCCCACACTTCACACTGCTCTAAACCTACGTGCAACAAAAAAACACTAGCGCCAAAATGGAGAAAATCTGCTGACAAATCACTGTGGCAGCCGTCATGCAACCACTCCAATACGATTTACGAAGTCGAGCTGCAAAAGACAATAGTATGACAAATGCAGCCACAGCACGAAGCAACCTTGACGCAGCCATTACAATGCGATCTGCAGAGACTGAGTTGCAAAACACAATAGAACTATGCGCAACGGCGTCAGAAATTGTAGCTCCAAAACCGGATCTCGACGCCAGAGCGAAAAAAAGACGATTTTGAAGCACTTTTTAAAAGGATTTTTAGAAGGAAAATCACTAGCGCCAAAATGGAGAAAATCTGCTGACAAATCACTGTCGCAGCCTTCATGCAGCCACTCCAATACGATTTACGAAGTCCAGCTACAAAAGACAATAGTATTACGCATGCAGCCACAGCATGAAGCAACCTTGACACAGCCATTCCAATGCGATCTGCGGAGACTGAGTTGCAAAACACAATAGAACTACGCGCAACGGCGTCGGAAATTGTAGCTCCAAAACCGGATCTCGACGCCAGAGCGAAAAAAAGACGATTTTGAAACACTTTTTAAAGGGATTTTTAGAAGGAAAATCACTAGCGCCAAAATGGAGAAAATCTGCTGACAAATCACTGTGGCAGCCTTCATGCAGCCACTCCAATACGATTTACGAAGTCCAGCTGCAAAAGACAATAGTATTACGTATGCAGCCAAAGCAGGAAGCAACCTTGCAATCCCATTTACAGTGAGGGAACGATCCTAGAGTTGCAAATCACAATGGAATTCCATCGGCAACTCATCCACCAGCACCACTTGCAACCCCATTTACAATGCGGGAACGATCCTACAGTTGCAAATCACAATGGACTTCTGTCGACCGCACATGCACGAAAAACAGTTGAAACCCCATTTACAATGCGGAACCGATCCGACCATGATCCGAACATATCCGAGCATGATCCGACCACACACGAGACCGTCTCGCACCCGTCGCACCGCAGAGGTAGATCATCGACGTTCGGGGACGGACTTTGTATGGAAAAACATAGGGTTTCGTGCATCTGCTATCTCTCAAAAACGCATTTCGTGCGAGACTTCCTCCAAAACTCCATCGGCAACTCATCCACCAGCACCACTTGCAACCCCGTTTACAATGCGGGAACGATCCTACAGTTGCAAATCACAATGGAATTCTGTCGACCACACATGCACGAAAAACAGTTGAAACCCCATTTACAATGCGGAACCGATCCGAGAATGATCCGAGCATGATCCGAGGATGATCCGACCACACACGAGACCGTCTCGCACCCGTCGCACCGCAGAGGTAGATCATCGAGGTTCGGGGACAGACTTTGTATGGAAAAACGTAGGGTTTCGTGCATCTGCTATCTCTCAAAAACGCATTTCGTGCGAGACTTCCTTCAAAACTCCATCGGCAACTCATCCACCAGCACCACTTGCAACCCCATTTACAATGCGGGAACGATCCTACAGGTGCAAATCACAATGGAATTCTGTCGACCACACATGCACGAAAAACAGTTGAAACCCCATTTACAATGCGGAACCGATCCGAGACCAATCCGAGGATGATCCGAGGATGATCCGACCACACACGAGACCGTCTCGCACCCGTCGCACAGCAGAGGTAGATCATCGAAGTTCGTGGACACACTTTGTATGGAAAAACATAGGGTTTCGTGCATCTGCTATCTCTCAAAAACGCATTTCGTGCGAGACTTCCTTCAAAACTCCATCGGCAACTCATCCGGCAGCACCACTTGCAATCCCATTTGCATTGCGGGAACAATCAATGCCCTAACTAACTCTTGCTTTAACTAACCCTTTCCCTGACGAACCTTCGACGAACTCTTTCTTAGACGAACTCTTTCTTTGACTAACTGTTTCTTTGACTAACTGTTTCTTTGACTACCTGTTTCTTCGACGAACTCTTTCTTCGACGAACTCTTTCTTTGACTAACTGTTTCTTTGACTAACTGTTTCTTTGACTACCTGTTTCTTCGACGAACTCTTTCTTCGACGAACTCTTTCTTTCTTTGACTAACTCTTTCTTTGACTAACTCTTTCTTTGACTAACTCTTTCTTTGACTAACTCTTTCTTTGACTAACTCTTTCTTTGACGAACTCTTTCTTTGACTAACTCTTTCTTTGACTAACTCTTTCTTTGACTAACTGTTTCTTTGACGAACTGTTTCTTTGACGAACTCTTTCTTTGACTAACTCTTTCTTTGACTAACTCTTTCTTTGACTAACTGTTTCTTTGACTAACTCTTTCTTTGACTAACTGTTTCTTTGACTAACTCTTTCTTTGACTAACTCTTTCTTTGACTAACTCTTTCCCTGACTAACTATTTCTTTGACTAACTCTTTCTTTGACTAACTCTTTCTTTGACTAACTCTTTCCCTGACTAACTCTTTCTTTGCTAACTCTTTCTGTGACTAACTCTTTCTTTGACTAACTCTTTCCCTCACTAACTCTTTCTTTGACTAACTTTTTCTTTGACTAACTCTTTCTTTGACTAACTCTTTCCCTCACTAACTCTTTCTTTGACTAACTCTTTCCCTCACTAACTCTTTCTTTGACTAACTCTTTCCCTGACTAACTGTTTCCCTCACTAACTCTTTCCCTCACTAACTCTTTCTTTGACTAACTCTTTCCCTGACTAACTGTTTCCCTCACTAACTCTTTCTTTGACTAACTCTTCTTTGACTAACTCTTTCTTTGACTAACTCTTTCCCTCACTAACTCTTTCTTTGACTAACTCTTTCCCTGACTAACTGTTTCTTTCCTAACTCTTTCTTTGACTAACTCTTTCCCTCACTAACTCTTTCTTTGACTAACTCTTTCCCTGACTAACTCTTTCTTTGACTAACTCTTTCTTTGACTAACTCTTTCTTTGACTAACTGTTTCTTTGACTAACTCTTTCTTTGACTAACTCTTTCTTTGACTAACTCTTTCCCTGACATTCTAAAAGTCCGTAACACGGAAGTTTCTCCCACTAAACTTCCTTTGACCATATACCAATGGGATATACCATACATATACCATTTTCCTGTTCAACAGGGGTACAGGGTTTTAACCCAGACTCATATGATGAGGGCATGGAGAAAACACCACGTAACAAACCACAGCTGTGTCCCAAGGTGACTTGAAGTACTGTACATGAATGACCTGTACTACTTGGATGTTGAGGCAGGAAGGTGGGGGAGCCATGTCAGTTGGCTGATCCATCTGGTCCCCCCAAAACACTGTGAAATGGGTATTTCCTATGGTGGTACCCCAAAAGTCAGCTGGTTTCCCTACTAAATCCAACATGAAGGGTACCCAACCATGGAAATCCCCCCAAATCCATCCCCAAAATCCTGGGTTTATGACCACTGCTGGATGGTTTGGCTGCCCTCAGGTCAGGGCTTGGCAGCCAGTGACTGCTGACAGTGCCCCAGCTGCGCGACACAGCCACAGCGCGGTCCTCGACGCGCAGCGGATGTGGGTTTTTGGAGGTCATGTTGGTCAGGGCCCCAGAAGCCAACACAGCTGATGGCTTCACCCACTGTTGGTGGTGATCGTTGAGGTTTTCTCACCGACCTCAACGATTTGCACTACTTTCATGTTGAGGCGAGGTTCTTGGGAAGGTAAAAGGGTGTCCGTGTGCGAATTCAGATATCTTAGTCCGTTATAACTTTCAATAACTTGTGTAGGTTTGACATCAAATAGTTTCAAATGTCATGGCGAGTCATACCATATCTAGAGTAATCCACTGAGTGGTCCACTGGATATGTCCACAGTGGTGACAGCGACAGTGACATGCAGTGACGCAGCAAAGGATCAGTTGTTTCGTTCAGGTGAGAGATTGGTGGTTAAGATCCACACCATTTCCCACATCCATGCAGCTACAATTTTTGCTTCATGGACTCGCCTAGCACCTGATTCTTTTTTGAAGCTTCCATTCCAGAAATTGACTCAAACCCATAGAAAATGCCACCGCCACAGTTTGTTGCCGCCTTTCCACCTTCATTGAATGTTGGTTTGGCATCTAGCCATTTTTGGTAGTAATTGGTATTGACCCATGACCATATATACCATTACATACCATCATTATACATCATACCTTTGATTAACCATCAAACCATTACATATAAATCATATACATTCATATACCATCATTATCCATTAATGGTTACCATGAATGTTATTCATTATCATCTATGATCGAATGTTGTTCGTTTCTGGCAACCTTAAATTCTGTTCATCAGGCGAGTTATTGGCACCCAGTGGCGGCCGCCAACGCATGCATCTGCGAAAACCAGATGATTCGAGGTCGGCTCATGGCTGCAACCGGTCATAACAACAGTATGATTTTAAGCAGTTATGAGAACTCAGATTGGCCAACCAGTGCAATTCCTTTGGGGCTTTGGCATTGCTTCTAGAGCCCACAGAGTGAGTTCTCAAGGTGACTTTGACAGTTGCAACTCTGAGTTTCCAAAGTTGTCCCGATTTCCAGCTTCAAGTGCTTTCACAAGTGCTCTCACGAGTTCTCTCACAAGTGCTCTAACGTGCCGCCATGGTCAAGTCGCTCGTGGCCTTGGCATTTGTCGCTCTCAATTTGGCGATCTGTGCCTTCCTCCAGGGCTGTGGTTCGGAGACCACCGCAGCGGCCCCCGTGGCAGCAGCTACTACCTGCGACATGACCGCGGTGGCAAGCTGTGCGCAGACGGCGAGTACAAGCTCAACGGACCCCTGTCAGATCTCCTCGGCCACAATCGAATGCTATTCCAGCTGCTGCACATATGCTGAAGCGCAAACAGCCCTGGATGCAGCTGTCTCTGCTGCAGCAGCAATTCCGAATTGCAATCTTGTGAGCCCCTGTGCCTGAGCGACCAAGAGTGAGATGCCAGTGAAAGGAGCATGATTTTTCCCGGATGGTTTGCCTGCCTTCTTGCTTTGTAATCAATCGATTTACACACCGTGGATAAATCATTTCACCATTCATGATCATTCATGTATATATATATAGTTTATTATCCCTCTTGCTTTGTTGGCTTCGTTGATTGCTCTTTGATTTTTCTTTCACCGGGCGAGCACCGGGCCACCAAAAGTCAGAGCGCATTAACATGCAGGAACTGAACTGGTGGCGTAATTAATAGCCTAGCTCCCGACCCAGCACCTGAGCCAAAACGGATTGGATGTACAGCCGCCTTGATTGGATGTACTGCGAGCAGAAAGGTTGAAATCTGTGAGGCTGCCAGCGGCTGCCAGGCTGAGTTTGGCATCTTGCGGGTTGTTGTGAAGTGAAGTCAATTTGTCACGTCCTTGACGTGGGCGGCCAGGTGGACGGGCGCCGCGGCGCGGCCAGTGATCAGTCTGAGCAGCCGCTTAGCGATTGTGGTCGCTTGGACTCGAGGTTTGGCACCTTGTGGTACCATTGATTCTGTCGGATTGATCAACGAGTATTTGGATGTATTTGGGGGTTTACTGATGGATTTTTGAGTGAACACGGTCTGTTTTTTGCGGGAGATTCTCATAAAACCTCTCTGCTTTGCAAATCACACAGGCTCCTAACACGGTCATGGCAATTACTTCGCTCTGGCGGGTTGATCCTTTCTTTTTTGGACACAAGCGGAAACTCGAGAAGCGTCAGCAGCGCATGTTTGTATATCAAAAATGGTGATAATGATGATAATGTTTATTGTTATAATGGTTATCATATATAGTTAACATTGTTAATGGTATAATATTAATGGTTCGTTAAATGAATTCTTAATGGCATTACCCTTTTTAATGGTGACTATTCTTAGTATCATTGTGGTTTTTCATTGTTTTTTATTATTTATTATTCATGATTGGTTGATCAATTCACAAAAATATTTACTGATGGTATATCATGAATCCGTCATGGGGGATGGTTCGTAATTCACTATGATTCCATGATTGCTAATCACCATAACATTAAATTATACCGTTTACAAATGTTGATTAATAACCATAACTTAAGGATACTTAAGGTATTTTATATTTTCTGGTTATTTCTCATTGATTTGATTCATGGTTACTATTATTTTGCATTTTTGATAGTCATTATTCTACACCATATGATGGTATATCATCACTATATGACAGATATAATTATATATATATTACTATGTACAGGAATAATATGTATAATTATATCCATACCATATATTACTTCATATACATATTCATCATTATTGTATTATCAGGAATCCATAGATATGATTCGGTTTCTTCATCACTCTCAGTCTTTCAGGTCGCCCTGAGAATGACTTGCACTATTTCGATGTTGAGGCGTCGCCTCCGGCTCCTTGTTTCGCTGGGCTGCTTGGTGCGGCAGTGACCATGGGATGTTTCACACCACCTAACTGTTGTGTTTTTATGGGGAAGAGTTCTTGGAGGGTTTGATCATTGGTTATGGTCAAAAGATGTCAAAAACATATTCATTTTCACCTCCAGTTGTTTTTTGCGGCTGTTTCTAAGTTCCTCCTGTGAAACTTGAGGTTTGTGAGCAGTTCGGCTTTCCACCAACGGTATTTTTCAACTCCAGATTTGTTGGAAGACATTTGCTTTGTTCAGACCAATCATTTCCAGAATTCCGACGTGTGCCAACAAAACCTGTAGTGTCAACATCCACACGCAGTGACTTGGTGCAGACGGAGGAACCATTTTTCAGATCACCGACAGCTGGTCTACAATCTCCTTGTCTGCTGTACACTAGATTAACCCTCAGCGACATCCATTGATCGTTTCTTGCATGTTGATTTGGCCTTTGTTCTGCTAAACATTTTTTTAAGTATAATCAATATGGTTGTATGATGACTAATCGATGGTTCTTGTTATAATCATTTTTTCTGACAATAACCACAGATTGACCATGATATAACCATCATATAACCATCATATAGCATAGATAAGACCAGATAAGATCATCATGGGCTATAAGAATAGCCATGGCTGGCCATGTCATGGTTATAACCTCCAGTTTTTCAGCTTGCCATGCCAGAAATCGCCAGGCCAAGACACGGCACCCGGTGGCGCAGTCGCGGCCCGGATGCATGGTGATTGTATGCTATATGACCTATATGAGCCATGGTCAGTTCACTGGGTAGCCGTTATGAACCATGACATGAAAGATATGAAAGGGGATGGTCATCCAATGGTTAAGGGTGGGATTTATATGGATTTATATGGATTTATAGAATAACCATTATTTTGGGGGTCCCGAGTATGGGTGGGATGACCAGCTCGCCACTATTAGACTATGGGGAGTTTTGACCATGGCACATATTAGGGTATTTCCATCAATGGGGGCTCCCTAATCATCCACCAAAAAGGACGATTTTATGAGGTAAATCAATGGTGGGTACCCCCATTTTAGAATACCCATGTATAATCATGTATATATATATAATTATACATATATATATATTTATTTATTTATTGGGATATACCAGATATATACCATTATCATCCATTATCCCAATGTTGGTATATTATATACATACCATTATATTGTATGGTATACCCACATTGGGATAATACGAATGCTAAATCATTGCCGCCCAGTTCCAAGGTATTAACGGTCGTAGTGACGACAAGAATGAGTTGCGCTACTTCGATGTGGAGGCAATGCTGTCAGCATCGTTTGATGGGCACAATCTCATCATAGTAAGCCTTTATATATCATTGAGCACCCATTCTATATGGGATTTTCATGAATTTACCATAATTCATCACTGGTGTAAAACAACTATTAGTATAAACCACTAGTACACACCAAATAAGGATCCTTATTATATATAAATATAAATAAATATATATATATATATTTTTTGGATCATATCCTTATTATCAACCTTATTTGCACACATATATGTATATATATATATACATATATATATACATTATATAATATATACATTATACATATATACATTATACATATATACATTATATATATATATATATACACACTTTATATATAATACATATAATGTATATATATATAATATAAATACATTATATATGAATATATCTATATTATATATATTGTATAAGGATGGTAAACCAAAAAAAACAACCATCTTACTTTCCAATAGTTCAGGCACAGATCTGGCACCGGGTCGCGGCCGGCAATGCTCCATCCCAACGGAGTGGCCACAGTGCCGTGCTGGACGCCCAGCAGCGGATGTGACATCCGCTGCTGGGCGTCCAGCACGGCACTGTGGGTCTGCGGAGGCAAAACTTACTCCAGCCGCGGCCCCAGAGACAACTGTGGCAC